TTTTAGTCTGTTCATTGATCCATTGATTATTTAGAAGCATGTTTTTTAGCTTCCATGTGTTTGTGGGCTTTTTTGTGTAATTTATTTCTAGTTTCATACATTGTGATCTGAGATGATGCTTGATACAATTTCAATCTTTTAAAATTTACTGAGACTCTTTTTGTGCCCTAGTATGTGATCCATTCTGGAGAATGTTCCATGTACACTTAAGAAAATTGTATCCTGCTGCTTTTGGGTGGAATGTTCTATAGATATCTGTTAAGTCCATCTGACCTAATGTATTGTTCAGTGCCTCTGTTTCCTTATTTATTTTCTGTCTGGTAGATTAGCCTGTGGATATAAGTGGTATGTTAACGTCTTCTAAACTGTATGTGTTGCAATATATTTCCCACTTTAATTCTGTTAGTATTTGTTTTATGTATATAGGTGCTCCTATGTTGAGTTCATAGCTATTTATAATGGTTATATCCTCTCGCTGGACTGACCCGTTTATCACTGCATGATGTCCTTCTTTGTCTCTTGCTACTTTCTTTGTTTTGAAATTTTGTCTAATTTAAGTACAGCTACTCCTGCTTTTTTCTCCCTATTATTAGCATGAAATATATTTTTGTATCCCTTCACTTTTAGTATGTGTATGTCTTTGGGTCTGAAATGAGTCTCTTGCAGGCAGCATATAGATGGGTCTTGCTTCTTTATACTTTCTGCCACTCTATATGTCTTTTGACTGGTGCATTCAGTCCATTTACATTTAAGATAATTATTGAGAGCTATGTACTTACTGCCATTTTATTTAGTTTTATGATCTGTTCCTTTCTCCCTCTCATATTCTCTTCTCTTGTTATTTGATGGATTTCTTTAGTGTTGTGATTGGATTTCTCTTTTTATTTATTTGTGTATCTATTATAGGCTTTAGATTTGTGGTTACCATAACGTTCAAGGATTGCTTTCTGACTATTTAACAGTCTATATTAAGTTGATGATTGCTCTATTTCAAACACAATCTAAAAGTACTTCCTTCTTCTTCCTCCTCACTTATGTACTAGATGTCATAATCTGCAGTTTTTGTGTATCCTTTGACTGAGTTTGTGTATAGTTGATTTTACTACTTTTATTTTAATTCGTACTTGCTTGGTAAGTAATTGGTCTACTACCTTTACTATGGGTTTATTTTCACTCTTGAAAGCTATTTAGGCTTAGGAATATTTCCGTCTTTGGAAGTCCCTTTAACATATCTTGTAATGCTAGTTTAGTAGTTATAAATTCCTCTAGCCTTCATTTACTTGGGAAATGTTTAATCTCTCCTTCAAATATGAATGATAATCTTTCTGTGTAGAGGATTCCTGGTTGAAGGTCCTGTTTCCATACACTAAATATTTCATGCCACTCCCTTCTGGCCTATAAAGTTTCTGCTGAGAAGTCTGCTGATAGCCTGATGGGATTTCCCTTATAAGTAATCTTTTTTTCTCTCTCTGGCTGTTCTCAATACTCTCTCCTTATCTTTAATCTTTGTCACTTTAACAATTATGTCTTTCTGTTGTCTTCCTGGGGTTCCTTTTGTTAGGGGCTCTCTTGAGTTTCCATGACTTCAGTGTCTGTTTTCTTCCCCACATTGCGGAAGTTTTCAACAATTATTTCCTCAAACTTTCTATCCCTTTGTCTCTCTCTCCTTCTGGTACCCCTATTACGTGAATATTGTTTTGTTTAGAGTTCTTTTATCATTCTTTCCTCTCTAGAGATTTTTTCCCTCTTGTTCCTCAGCCTCATTGTGTCTCTGTTCTCTTAATTTCCATCTCATTGACTGTCTCCTCTACTTGTAGCAAACTATTATTCATTCCCTCCATTATATATTTCATTTCAGTCACTACATTCTTCAGCTCTGAGTGGCTCTTCTTCAGCTCTTCTCTTTGTTCAAGTCCTCCCTTAAATCTTCAGTACTTTTCTGCAGATCAGTAAGCATATTTATGACTGTTACCTTAAAATGTTTATTGAGAAAATTGATGATCTCTGTTTCATTTAGCCCTCTTTCTGGTGTCTTATCCTGTAGTTTTGTTTGGAACATATTCCTCTGCCTCCTCATTTTGTCAGGGTTTCTGTGTTTCTTCCTTTGTGTTAGATAGATCTGCCATGCCTCCTGGTTTAGAACATACTGGATTTATGAAGGTGTCCTTTGGTGTACAGAAGCTCAAGACTCTTTCCTATCTAGTGCCTGGTTCTCCTTTGCAGTGGAGCCCCAGTTGCTGTTGGTGGGCAATGGGCTGGGCCACCTTTCTGTCTGCTGTTGGCAGTGGTTATCTTAAGTCTGCTGTGGCTGGCAGTTTGCTTTAGCTGGCTATTTGTGACCAGAGCAGTGACTTCTGCTGGGATGTTTGTGGGTAGGGCCACCCTCTGCCTGCCCTGCAGTGATGGCAGGGCTGCTGGGCTAACAGGGTAGGCAGGATAGACAGCAAATGCACAATTCTGGTACAGACACATGTGCTATGTGGTGGCAGGGTGCATGGTACATGGCAGTGGTGAGTCAAACAGTGGGGGCACATGCAGCAGCGAGGCACACAGCACCCACTCTGGCTTCCCATGGGGAGAAAGGAGTACTCGGAGCTGGCTCCTGCTGGCACCTCTCTAATTAGGCCGAGATAGGGCTGAGAAAGCTAGGAAAGCCTCCCTCTGCCTGCCAGGCAGCAAAGTCTGATATTGCTGGGCTGGCGTACCTTTGGTACAGAGGTAAGTGCCTTGGGGCTGAACTGCCTGTAAGCAAAAACAGAGTGTCTGGGCTCCCTAGAGTACCTGACCTGTTGAGCTGAGGGAGGGCTGTCCTTTCTCCTGTGGAGAGAGATCCACCTGACCCTCGCCTCTCTGGTACCCTTTCCGCTGCTGGCAAATTTTTCAAACTGATGCCTCAGTTTTGGGTTTCAGTGGGACTGGCAGAGTATGCCTGCCCTCAACAAGGGGCTGGAGTCTCAGTCTCCCAGAGTTGGATTTGCATCCAGATTTGCAAGTCACCAAAACCCAATGCAATGTGGACTCATATTCCTGGAGCAGATCGTCAGGGCCAGGTGTGCAGAGTTCTTGAGCACCTGTCCCCTCCCCACTCTGTTGTTCTTCCTCCCACCTACAGGCTGAGATTGAGTAAGAGCTTATGTACCACCTGATCGTGGCTCTGCTACTTTACCCTTCTCTGTGTGGTCTCTTCTTCTTCACCAGGTACGATGGTCTGTTCTACCGTCTTCAGGTCATTTTCAGGTTTAGTTGTACTTGCTTTAGTTGTTTCCTTGGTGTGTATGTGGGAGAAGGTTTCCACCTTGCCTTCCTGCTCTGCCTTCTTCCTCCCTCCACTGGCCCTACACCCCTATGCTTATTGTAGCATTAATTACAACAGCCAAGATATGGAAGAAAGCAACCAAAGTGTCCACTGAGAGATGAATGGATAAAAAAGGGGTGGGGGATAACTACATATATACAATGGAATATTACTCAGCCATACAGAAGAAGGAACTCTTGCCATATGTAACATGTATGGACCTAGAGGGTATTATATTCGAAGTGAAGAAATAAATCAGAAAAATGCCATATGGTTACACTTTTATGTGGAATCTAAAGAGCTAACAAACCAAATAGAAACACTCATAAACATAAAGAACAAACTAGTGATTGCCACAGGGGAAAGGTGTGGGGGGATGGCAAAATAGATGAAGGGGATAAAAAGGCACAAACATCCAATTATAAAATAAGTTAGTCAAGGGATGAAAGTGCAGCATAAGAAATAGAGTCAATAAGATGGTAATATCTCCGTATGTTACAGCAACTACACCTTTTCATTGTGAACATTTAAAATGCACATAATTGTTGAATCACTGTTGTATACATACAACCAATATAATATTGTATATCAACTATATTTCAATTAGAAACAAAAAATAAAAAAGGAATTCTGTTGTTTAAGCTCTCCAGGAACATCCTCTCTCTTTACAATAAGTTAGGTTTATTTGAGTTTTGCAGATAATTTTAGACAGTCATTATATACCAAAGTAAGAAACTTCCTATATGTGACCATACACTTGCTTTTTAGATAAGAAAAGGGTTCTCACTGTTCATAAGTTAACGTGCTCATTCTGAATGCCTTTTTATGTCAATATATTTAAAAATATTTTAAATACTTAATTATAATGGATACAATAATTAACCACCCAACTAGGTATTTAAATCGTTCTTAATTTTTCAATATTATAAACTACACTCTGATATAACATCCTTGTAGCTAAATCTTTGTTCATACTCTCAATTATTTCCTTAAAAGCTATTTCCAGAAGTGGAATTTCTGGATATTGTTTTTATGACTTGGTTCAGCTTTTGTTGATGTGGTTCAGGGAGAAGGAATATTTTTCAAACTCATTTTTTCCTCTTGTCTTTCCTATATCCTAAGTGTTGATGCTTGAAGAACTACCAAGCTTATCATCTTTATGGAGAGATTGAATTCCTAACTAGAATATAATTTCAATATTAAAAATGAGACAGAGACATAAAGACACATTAAAAAATAGCAACAACAACAAAAAAGGCAAAACAAAAATAAAGGCAAAGAATTAAGATTAGCATGTATAATATGGGGGGAGGCACGGCTGTGCAACACAGAGAAGACAAGTAGTGATGCTACAGCATCTTACTATGCTGACGGACAGTGACTGTGTAAGTGGGGCTTGTGAGGGGGACTTGGTGAAGGGAGGAGTCTAGTAACCATAATGTTCCTCATGTAATTGTAGATTAATGATACCAAAAAAAAAGAATATATAAAGACTTATAAATGCTAGGTACTATGAGAATGAAAATGAGTAAACAAATCATTTTGTCTTGAAAAAAAAATAAAAATAAAGGCAAAGAATTAATTTAGTATACTGAAATAGGGTCTCAAACTACAAAAAGTCTGTAATTTCTGTAATTTTTGAAATGTTATTGCCACCACCTCTACTCAGAACTAGCCACCAATAATAGCCAATCACCAATTTCACCTTCAGATATGCTGGAGTCATGGAACATGGTTTCAAAAGCTTGATGTGTTTCAGCAAAAGAGGGCCTGTCAGCAGGGCTCCACTTCCAGCCTAGATAACAGAAGAGGGAAATATTAAATCTCCTTGCAGAAATGAAATATCAGTAGCATACCTGAGAGTGAGCTAGTTCCGTACATCATAAAGTATTCTTGTTAAAGCAGTTACAGCATGTTCACAATGACAGTGAGGCGGCTGCTTCTCAGTTCCATACTCAGAGGTGTAATAAACCCACTTCCTAGGACTGGTCCTTCTATGTGGCCTCAGCAACTATTCTGAACTCTGCTATAGGTATCGGGGGTGGGGGGTGGGGAGATGGTTTAGAAAAGGGCAAGTTTTCTTCCACTGGAAAAATGTAAGAAGTAAAACCTGTCTCCAAGCTCACTCTACCTGTTTAAGTAATCAGCTGTACATATTCAGAAGTATAACAGGCTAAGCAAAAGGAGTTGTTTAGAGTTCACATTTGACAAAAACAGGCCAGATGGAAACGCCAATGCTCAATGAGAAGACAACAAGACCTATGTTTAAACAGAACTGCAATTTAATTAATTCACGACTTACCTTCTTACTTTCTTGAGTCAGATGCTTTTGTTTACTCACACAGAAGTTACTTTCATGTATTTCTCCATAGTATTTACAATTATTTTTATCGAGTTGAAAGCAGCCTTCCCCTACCTAATCTCCACATCCAATTTATTATCCTATTAAAAATGCAAATGTTTTTGGGAAAGTACGTCAATATTTGGGCCATGCACAACTTATTCTTAGGATTCCAGTAAGACCCAATGGTACACCATATGATATGCCAACTGGCTAGCTGATCAATGACCAAACCTTTACATGCCATGAGGTTGGATTCAATCTAACAACATTGAGAGGAGAAACGTTTCTAATTTTGTTCATCATCCTGAATTGCTGACTTAAACCTTCAAAATTAAAATATGAAAAAAAAATACTCACATGCTCTCATAAGCTCATAAACCTTAGGGGGGCATCCTTCAGGCTGTTCCATTCGATATCCTTTTTCCAGTAGATCATAGACCTGAGACAGGTCAATACCTGGATATGGTGACATTCCATATGTAGCAATTTCCCACAACAGTACCCCAAAAGCTGTACAGGGGATGAGAAAAAGAGCTTACTGTTTCTTCTCTGGTCTATTTATATTATACCATTAGGTAATTTCTCTTTCAACTTCTGGGTAACATTCCACTGTTACCACCTTAGTATACCCTTCTGATTCTTACAGCACTCCACTTCGTATAGCTGGACTTGTCCTTCTAACAGACCTGCTACAGGATGGCTTCAGGTATAACTGCAAGCCAGTTTATCTAAATTTACCAATTTTTATTTATATTTCCCTTACTGCAGTGAAGGGGAATAAACTCTGACCATATAAGAAGTCTGGAACATAATCTGCCTAGTCTTAGAACAATGTATGATCTATTTAATGAGTTACACAGTTTTTAAGTCTGCTAATATTACAGAAGTAGTATAAAAACAGACTCATTTAAAATCAGATACAATTCACACTAGAAAAAAAATTAGCTTTATTTTCTCACAGGTTATTTCTGAGTTTGCAATTTCTGGTAAAAAGTGACTTAGAATACTACAGCTATTTCTAATGGCCCATAATCCAAATTTCCAGACATGTTCAGTCCACTGTACCTCTTTTCAGGACAGTAAAAACATCATCAATTTTAAGTACAAATTCTAAATGAAACTTCATCATGCTTTCCTTGAAAAGAGCTTTGTGTCACAGTAGTTTGGACATGAGCAATAAAACCTAATGTGGAAAACAGGGGGCTTTACAGAGAGAGGATGATCAGAACTCCAGTGCGACCTAAGATCTACACCATGAGCTCTTTGAAGGTAAGGACTTCTTTTTTTTTTACTTTCTTCTTTATATTTCTTTCTATGTGAAGTGCCTAGCCACAATGCCTGGCAGGCAGTAGGTACTTAATAAATGCTTGAATAACTGAGTAACTGAAGAAAGATAGGGGTAAAGGCAGAGGATTATTGGTCAGATAAAAAAGAAGCTCTCAAGAATTAGGAACATTTATAAAGAACATAAAATGACATAAACACAGAAAAAAAATTCCTTTCAACCTTACCCCAGACATCAGATTTAATTGAGAAGGTATTGTAGGCGAGACTCTCTGGTGCCGTCCATTTAATAGGAAATTTGGCTCCAGCATGAGCAGTATAGGTGTCTCCAGTCATCAGTCTGCTTAAACCAAAGTCAGCCACTTTTACCACATGGTTTTCTCCCACTAGGCAGTTACGGGCTGCAAGATCTCTGCACAAAAAAGAGCCCTAAAATGTGATTCCATTCAGATGGTGGGTGCTCTATTCTCAGTTCTGTGTGTTGCAAGCAGAGTTGATAAGTAGTGTTAACAGATGCGGTAGTATTTTATGATGGTCGCTAACACAGTAGAAAGCTGCTAATTACATCTCACAGAGTACCCTTCAAGAGGCAGTTATATGATAGCAGAATAAAGCAGGCTTCAGGAAGTGGGTTTCTACTTACAAGTACATAGGGATAAGTTTCAGAGGTGAGCAAAAGATGCTTTCTATAAGGCTTTGAGTTCTTTGGAAGAGAGAAAGGTTTAATGTTTTTTTTAAATTTTTTTTTAAATTTATTAAGGTATGATTGATATACACTCTTATGAAGGTTTCACATGAAAAAAACAATGTGGTTACTACATTTACCCGTATGAGAGAAAGGTATTTTTAAAAATAAAACCACTAGATGGAGCAAAAGGCTCTTGGACCAGGCAATATTAAGAGTTCTTTTTTGAGAACAGCAAAGGCCCCTTACTAATACTTTAATCAGAGTACAGTAGACTTATAAGTTGGAACTGACATTAAAATGGGACCTGTGAAAGAGAAAATTACTTTCCTGAATCATCTGACCATTTCTGGGAAGGTTCTCATTCTTTCCTTTATTTGCATGTCAAGCAAGGTACATTCATCATTAGTCACAGGCAAGAATCAGGTTTTACGCACCTATGGATGAAATTCTTTTTCTCTAAATACTCCATTGCAGAAGAGATCTGAGTGGCCATGTAAAGCAGTACAACTGCAGTTACTTCTTCTCGGCTGCATTCTCGGAGATAATCAAGCAAGTTCCCATATGGCATGTATTCAGTCACAATGTAAAATGGTGGCTCCAAAGTACACACACCTGATAGTTTAAGGGTAGAGCTTGTTTTATTAGTATATACTGAAACACTCCAAACCACTTTGGCAAGAACTGGCAATTTTTAGTCTATTTTGGCAGTAATCCTCTCTTTTTGCCATCACATTCTCTGAAAATAATATAACAAAGTTAAGTTGGTTGATAAGGGAGTCTCTGCTTCCATTATACCATTTGCTAGAAATTCATAAGCATTTGAGTATTTGCCTGTTTGGGCAAAAGCAGAGTTACTTGTATTTATTCCACAAGGGGCCTGGAAAACTAACTTTCTGCAGTTCCATATATGCCCATAATTCCCATCCTCAACTGCATGCTAACAGTCCTTATTTAAAAGTAACAGCAATTGTGCATATGTTTAAGACTAGGTGAGCCCCACCTGTAATAACACTCTTTAAGATAACTGTTTCCATAATCAAGGATTTCACTGATACATGACAAAACCTACAAGAAACTATTTTCTTCCAGATAATTTGGCTCAATTTGAACATCCAAAGAAAGTGGACCTATTTTCAAAGGGGCAAGAGGCTCAAAGGTTTCTTTGTGACCTGAACAGGTGGGTAAGAACAATCTATCATAGTATAACCCTTTCTGCCTGTAAAGGTAAACTAATGAGTGTGGTCACAATTTTTAATCTGCTTCTTTTCAAGTCTTTTGTTTAGTGTCTTTTTATTTTCTAAAAAAGCCTTCTGGCAATTTTGGGTTCAGTATCATCCTGAATGAACTTTGAATGTGGGGCAATTACCACAAGCTGGGCAGTTTTATTTACTGCAGTCAGTCCAGGTCACTGTTTCTCGGGCAATTTTTAAACACAGGGCCTGCTGACTAAAATGACAACTCTTTTGTTGAAGTAGATTTGCACTTGGTGCTTCCACTGTGGTGACTTAAATGAAGGCTAAGGATATAATGGGGTGGGGAAACAAACATCCCTGAGGAAACCTATGGTTCAGATAAGCTTTCTCACCTAAGAGCTGTACCAGGTTAGGATGCTTGATTTCCTTCATCACTGCAGCTTCTTTCAGAAACTCCTCTACCTCCATGGTATCTTCCTGGAAAGGGGAAAAGATAAGAAAGAAAAAGAAAAGAGAGAGAAACCCCATCTTAATCATTTGAGTCAACTCACAACCCTAAAACGTCAGCTTTAAAAGGAGTATCTTTCAAATGTTTAGCATATTACTTCAAAGTATTTTACCACAACTGAGTATGGTCTACAGAAGTCTGATTAAGGAAGAAAAATGTTCTTAATTTATCCAATATTTGAAACTGGAGTAAAAATTAGCAAATAACCATGTCCCATCATGACAGACAGGGGAGACTCAGTTCTCAGTTTACTTCCCTAGATATCTCAGCCTTGGCAAAAGGTGGCAGAATTAGCTCTTTGCATGTTTGTCTTCCTGACAAATTCCTTAAGAAGCAATGAATGTTTGTGTGACCTTGCATATTGTTTCATGCTGAGAATATGCTTAACACCTGCTAAAAAGAATGACACTACTCATAGTTGAAGAACAGCCCTTACAAGTGATATCCAAAGCTACTGCCCATGGCAGAATCTTAAAGAATAGAACAGGTGACACCGTGTAATCTGATACCAGGATGCTTAAGAAGAGAGAGTGGCATCAGGAAAAAGATTTTTGAATATTAAGAACAGGAAGTGCTCTCAAGGAGATACAGGGAGCAAGGGCACAGAGGACAAGGACAAGAGAGAGCCTGTGATTCTCGAACAATGCATGAAGAATTCTGTCCAGCAGGGGTCGCTTTCAGGAAGCAAAAGAGCTTGTTTTGCTTTTGTAACGTGTAATTTTCTTCTAACCTTCCGCTCAGCTCTACATCAAGAGCCTCCAGAGACAAGCCTCCCCCACATGCGGCTTTCTGCCCCTGCACTGTCAGCAATGGCAGCAGGGTTAATCATCACAATTTGCTTGGCAACAGTGGGTGGAAAGTGTTCCAAAGTTAAAGAAGTGCACACTGGTTATTTCCAAGTGATTCAGCATAAAAGAAAAAGATGCCTGAAAACTGTTCATTCTCAGCAACCCACCTTCAATGTTTTCACAGCAACCGTGAGACTATATTTCTTCCAGACGCCAACGTAAACCTCTCCATACTGGCCACCCCCAAGTTTGTGCTTCATGGTGATGTCTGTCCGTTCCATTTCCCATTTGTCATGGATGGGGGACACGCCATAGACTGTCGGCTTATTACACTTGGGTGCCGGGTAGTGTAATGTGGTCACCAGCCCATCAGCCACTGTGGAGTGGTGGTGAACAAGCTCTGCCAAGGTGCTGAAGCGGCTCTCAGCAGTTACATAGACCTGGTGAGAAAGGCAGGAGGCAAGCTAAATCAACGTGAAAAGAGGTCAGAAATCTTTTCTACAAAGCTCATTATCTCACTGGTCTGAAGATATGAAGTAAGAGGTTATCTTTTGAGGCAAATGAAACAATTAAGTGATATAGGTAAGAGGAACCAGAACTTCAGTGTAAGCTTATTCAAACCGCTCTTCCTATACTTTCTAAATTAGCTCTAGTCATTGGAAAATAGCTTCCAAGATATCTTTCTGGATCATCAAAATCATTGGTCTCTGAATATTTTTAAGCATCAGTACTGCGGAATCCAAATACATAAGACTGATAAAGGAAGAGAAGCTATTATTATTAAAGTAGGTAAGAGGTGATTCAGTCTCCTATAATGATTTATGAAATGCCACCTCAGAATCTTGTACAGCTCAATTTGAAAACCACTGATTTTGAATTTTTTGGTAGGGAGAGGACATTCAAATATCTTACAATTTTTATTTAATTAGGATATGCTTTTGAGTGTCTAGGCCTTTAAAAAAAGAGCCATATTTTATTTCAGAGTTGTTAGTGTACTTGTGGGTAACTTGTGATATGCGATAAGAAGTATAAAATAAGATAGCAGTCTTCAGGCCTTATCTTCCAAGGGAGCTTATTAAAAATATATATATACATATATATATATATATTTATACAGAAAGTATACAACAAATACATGGAGAATTGATGGTTTTTATGAAGTGAACTTACCATGTACATATCTCCCACACTGAGAATTATTACCAGCACCCCAGAAGCCTCCCTCACCCCCAGCTATTTACTCCTGCAAAGCTAACCATTCTAAAACCTTAGATTAGCTTTGCCTACTTCTGCATTACACACAAATGGAATCATACATTATGTATTGTATCTGCTTTCACTTGTTTTTTTTATTGTGATATATAATTCACCTACATAAAGCACATCATTTTCAAGTGTCCAATTCAGTGGTTTTAGTACATTCACAAGATTGTCCAATCACACTTCTATCTCCAGAATACACCCTCCACAAAGAAACCCACACCCCTGAGCAATCACTCCCATTCCCTTTACCCCCATTCCCCAGCCATCACTAATCCTTTTCACTAGGCTTTACATGTGTGACATTCATCTACAACAGGGGTTAACAAACTTTTCTGTACAGGGACAGCTAATAAATATGTTAGGTTTGTGGCTGTGTAAAAAAACAACAAAAAATCTGCTATAATGAGAAAGCATCCACAACAATACATAAGCAAATGGGTATGGCTGAAGCCCAGTAAGATTTTCTCTACCAAAGCAGGCAGTTGGCAGGCCACAGGTCTCCTGACAGTATGTGTAGCACTATGTTCACCTCTGTTGATGTATGAGGTTCCATTTTATGAATATATTGCCATTCATTAACTCATCCTACTGTTAGACAGTTGGAGGTTTTCAGTTTCTGGCTGTGGCAAATAATACTGCTCTGAATATTCTTATACATGTCTTATGTACACACATGCACTCACTTCTGTTGGGTATATAACCAGAACTAGAGCTGCTGGGCCTCTATTACATCATCACTTATCTATTTGGTTTCATCAAGAGACAACTTACTGTTAGGTGGAGCAAAAGAGACAAAAATTAATCATTTACTTATTTCCTATTTTGTACCAGCATTTATGTTTTGTGGAAATTACTTCATTTAATCCTCCCAACAATTCGATGAAGTGGGATGGGAAATTGAGGCTTATGTGAGGTCACCAAGTGAAAACACAAATGGAGTTACACAGCAAACCCAGTCAGCTTGCTCCCAAGTCTTGCTTTTCCCCTTCTATGCACAATGCAAGGAAACACAGAAGAAATTATTCAATCTAAACATATGGTTAAATAGAACTGACATAAGCTTATGCTTATAGTTTATAAAGTAAAATAGTTTTTAAACACAATATTCTAAAATGGCTGCTCTCTCCAACATGTAAATTGCTAAATGACTGATTAATTTATGTTAATATACATTACTGATGAACACCAATCTCAGAAGCCTACATTCTTCCTCTGTGAATTTTCTAGTAGAGATTATAATAATTTTCAAAGATACAAGGTTTAACTTACAAATTCTATATAGCATTAGATATACATGTGCTTATTTGTATATTGACAATAATCAGACCAGTTAATTTTTACAGCAGTTTCTTTCCTTCTCACCTTTAAATCTAGCCTATCATATAACTAATACAATGCTGTTTTTAATTTCTACTACCATATTGTTTTGAAAAGAGCAAGTCTACCATGCCGGATAACCCAAACTCACGTCAGAGATTTTTTTTTTTATTTCAAGTCAGAAATGAGAACTATGTTCTTTAGACGTTGTAAGTATTGCTCCTAAAGAGCAGCCAGTCTGCACCGAGTTGGCTGCCAGCCGGTCTTACCTTGCCGTCCGTGGTGGTATTGATCCTGTAGTGATACACACGCCCCTCATACCTGAGTGAGATTGACAGCTGCCCAGGGCTGCTCTCACTCTCTCGCACCAGGAAACTGCCATTGATGAGACTGCTGAGTAGATACTCCGCTGCACTGCGTGACACGGGTCCATGGTACCAGGAATGTTTTTCCAGACTGTTCACTGGGGTGATATAGTTGCTTGGCACCCAACCTTGGCCATTCTTAGAGCGAACTTCACTCCATTCACCATTCTGGTTGTAACCAAGGACTCGGAGCTTTTCACCTAGCCATGAAATAATCACAGAATGAAAGAAAAGATTTTAAGATTTTATCTCAAACAGAAGCAGTTTACTGTCAACTCACTGAAAAACATACTAAGGAACTTTAATGCCCACAAAGTTTTTTTTAATAATGAAAACAAACTTGGCTGCTCATTGTATCCTAACTGATCCCTGTAGCTTACAGCTTAAACAAAGAAAGCATAGTGAGAGATGGCTTTCTGGCATTTACTACAAATTTATAAAGGTTTTACATCAACTAAATGTCCTTAGGAAACTCCATGTATGGTAATAAGGTGATAGATAGAAAGGGTACTTAAAAGGCTGGGAAATGACATGGTCTCATCCTTCAAAAAAATAAAAAATAAAATTCATGTTTTCCTCAAAATAGTTTGCCAAGAAATTTACCTTACGTATGGCTCAGTGGTGGCAACCATCAAGGACTAGGGATAAGACATGTGAAATACAAAGTTACTTCTACAATTTCAATTGGCACTAAGGCAACAAAACCATCGGTGTAAAAAACAAAAAACAAACCAAAAATAAAAGCACAGAACACTGAGTTTTCAGCATATTTTCAGAAAGAAACTTGTTTGCGGGGTGGGGGTGGGCAGTGAGGACTCCCACAGCACAATCTTTTCTAGGACTCAAATTTTAGAACACTTATCGTTTCTCAATTTCCTTCAATTCCTCATGAAGAATAAATCATTCCTTTCATTCCTCTAAAATTAGTGTGTGGGAAGGGAAGTTGAGTCTGAGGGTGGAACCCAAGACTCAAGTTTCTTAGGGTATCTTTGCTATAAACATCAATGTCCTTGGTTTCTCTACTGAAATTGTGAACATCGACTTTAGACTCCCTCAACATATACCTTGCCCCGATATCTACAGCACAAGACAGATACAATTAGTAATAACTGATCATCTAAAGAATCTTTATAAGGCCTTAGGTCCCTATCTCTGAGAGATGCAAGCTCTCCTACAGAGTTTACACCCACTTCTCAGTGTCAGAAAGCAGAAGAAAGCCGAATCAGTCAAAAGGACACAGCCGAGTAGCAAGCAGGCAAAGTCCGTTGCAGAAAAGCTCAAGATCATTATTCTGGCAGCCATCTCACTTTTTCAGTGGCCTACAGAATGTTTACCATAGGATAACTTTCTGTTAGTCCCCATTAACTCACCTGAGATATCTGGATGTGAGGCATTCAAAGAGAAAAAACAGTTTGTACTCACACATACACATATGTATATATAAAAAGTGTACATATGTAAACACAGACAGGAATGTAATGTGTGTGGTGTGGTGGTGCAAAGGTACCAGTATGAAGATAAATACTCCCCAACCATAACTGCAGGAGAAAAAAATCTTAGTGCTGCTAGAAAACTACATAAAACTTGCTCTGTAGCTTTTCCCTATTATTCCACAAGATATAGAAGTAAAGACTAAATATTTTATTTACTACATATATTACTGTTGCTTCCTTCCAAAAAAACTGGAAATGACAAGTTGTCATATTAGGGTATAGTCAAACATCCTAGGTTTTCATTTTTTTTTTCTCTTTTTGACAACTAGGAGGAGAATTTTCTATTCTGGAAGTTTTGAGTACCATGGAGACTGTCAGGGGTAGGACTAAGCAGGGTCACACTTCTAGATCTAAATTTGGCCCTATTGACAAAAGAATCCTGGGAGAACTTTGTTTTTTAATTCAAGCAAAATATAACCTTCAAACGAGGAACTAAAATCAGTATTGGTATTTCATTTCTAAAATGTATTTTATCTTTTAAAATAATAAAATAGCTTTAGCATGGTACCATTTTATATTAATAGAACCTGACATAAAAATCTGAAAAAAAAAAAAAAAAAAAAATCTGACATCAAGAGTTTTGAGAAAAAATCACTGTTGGCCATAGTAGAGGAAATCCTACTCCTTGATCTGCACACTAGTGGCTGCTGTCACCAGTAACTCAGGAACCAACAGACTTACTTTATCAATGTTTCCTTGGTTACTGAGCTATCTTGGAAAATAATGACATGAAAACTGATAGGAAAATAATGACATGAAAACTGATAGGAAAGAATGTTCTGAGTCACCACTTCACAAACTTCTCCACTTAAGTATCAGTACAGGTAAAGAGTGTGTTGTAGCCCAAAGAGACCACCACTCTATAAAGTCCTCTGTTTTCTCCTAAAACTGTAAAATTTTCCTTTCAATGAGTAACCACATCCCACACACACATGTAAGTCCTGCCCCCAAACCACCATTATCTCCTACTCCTCAGAGTATCAAAATCTTTAAGTAAATTGACTGGAGGAGATAACACTACATCTCCTATGCCTTGAAACCTCCTGGCACATGTGCACATGCCACCATGCCCACTCTGGAACACATCTATACCCATTTGAGAAACTCAGTTTTAAGGATTTCTGCTTTAGATGAATCTGACTAGACTTGAAAAATTGATGTATATAAAATTTTCATATGAGGATAACATTCCCTAAGTAGAGGCCTTCTTCTTATATCCACTCCTATTTAATAATCTCATTCTGAACCTTACAAATAAAAGGCATATGTTTGACAAATAATCATTTAAGTTCCAATCTCATTTAAACATTACTCTGAAACACATTTCTTCCCAGTAGGCTTTCATAGGTTCAAAAGACAACACAAGTTTAGGTAGATTAGTATCCAATTCATGTACACAATGAGGATGTCCCATACTCTTATTTCTTTCTCATAAAAGTTTCATACTTTCAGTTCTTGTTCAAAAAACCAATAATGGATGGTTTTATTTTACTTGGCTATGTTCTTAGTGTTCCCTTTAAAAGAATTTACTACTGAAATAAACCACTGCTCTCTGGAGAGTATTTCTAGAATGGAAACCCTTCCTACTACTCCTTTTATTTATACATATAAACGCAAATGAGGGATGACTGTTCAGGCCAGCACCACTCAGAGCAGGTCCACAGTAAGAGAAGGCGCTTGTGCCAAGATGTGCACCACTGGACTACTTTCTTTATGCTGGAAGTCTGGCTCCAAAAAAAGAAAATGTTATCTGAACTAAATAATGACTAGTACAGTTAGTGATGCGGCTGGTTTACATTTTGGGTGCAAATTCTTAATCTCACTGGAGACTGGTAATGACCACTTCTTAAATAGGCAGTCAGTCCATGGACAACACTTTGAGTAGCAGTGGGATCTGGCAACATGACAACCACAGTTTAATCAGAAGAGACACATAGTGTATTACCCTATGTGGCAGATGAATCCTGGCATATTACACATAGCACAGAATTCTAAGAATGAGGAAAGTTCATCTATCTATCTATCTATATAAATAGTGTACTGTTTTTTCTAAAGTACTTCATCTCATTTATCCTTAATAAGCTTTATAAAGCAGACAAAGTGGCTTTATCCCATATACAGGTTAAAAAAAGAAAAAAGGCAACCAAATGCACCTTTCTGGGCCCATATCACTTGCTAATTTTAGTCAGAAGCAGAATCAAATCAGAACCCTTTATTTCTTAACCACCAATGGAAACTGAAAAATGCATGTTACACAGAAGCTAACCTTTGGTGATGCTGAGTGTGTTGTCACCACTTGCTACAAAATCATAAAGTGCAACAAAGAGATTAGGGTCACTCTCAGTGGCTCCGAGCAAGTTCTCCTTGGAGCTCCACCTGATGGCTTCATTCAAGGCCTGGGGTTCAACATCACAACCATATGGACGGTGCAAGGCTTCTGAAAGACATAAAGAGGAAAAGGATTCATATTAGGTTCAACAATTTAAATTCAGTATATACAAGGTATTTTGGCAAACACTGACAGCCCAAGGTAGAAAAGAACTGTAGGTACAGTTGTGAAGTCATGAAACATACACAAATGGCACTGTCTCCTAAGCATGAGAGAAGTCTACTTGCTGAAAATATAAAAAGATAAAAATCACAAAAGGAGCCTTTAGCCGCAACTTACATGCATTCACCAAAATCAGAAATAAATGATTAGGAAAAGCAGTTTTCTCAAAATGAAAAAAAGTCTTAAAATGAAATAGCAATTCATTTTATAAAACATATGGGACACTCTGCTGTGATGGTAATGGCAGTTTTAAGGAAGAACAGTTATGTTTTATAAGTCCACCCAACCTACCATTCTTCCTTTACTTTCTCCATGTAAAAAAAATTGTAGAAAAGGTAACAGACTTTAAGATATATGTACATATTGTATAAATCCTTTCATTTACATATAGAAAGATTATAGAAATAATCCTTCTAGAAAAAATCCTTAATTATCTGTTAAACAGAAAAAATGTTTTTGTTTAATACAAAATACTCTTGGCATTTCCAAATAACTGTTACCAAGCACTGTTTATAACATGTAATTGTTAATTGTTTTAATGAAAATTTTTTTTACCCTAGTTTCTTTTCTTAGGTGGTACAGTTTTATAAAATATCTTCGCTTTAATTGACGCCTATGAAAGTATCACCAACATACACTAAGTTTTTACCACGTGTACTGACTAAAGCTTTGTAAAACCTGGTTTCTCCAAGGCTCGCTATGGTTCCTAAATTTAGTCATATTACACAAACCGTGATCTCTGCTTCTCACAGCCCAGGTTAATTATACAAAAAAATATACTGTTCTTCCAGTAGTAATTTTCTTGATCTGTAACTGTTCTATAGTGGCTATCTGCCACTATCCAAATGCCTATGTCATATAACACCACTTTTCTTTAAGGTCTCTATCTCCACTCATTTTTAATTTAAAATAGATTTTATCATATTAGAAGAAGAAAAATCTTTAAATTTGTGGTTTTCTATTCAAATCCCTTCCCTCCTCTCCACCTCTGCTGACAATGCCTTATTTCAGATTCCCATCATCTCTCACCTGGACTACTGCCTCCAGTCTTGTCTCCCTCAAATCCATCCTCCACACAGCTGGCAAAACGATCTATTTAAAACAAAAAAAATTTTTTTGATGTCAGCTCTTCTTAAGATTCTTCAATAGTTCACCATCAAGCTCAAATCTCTGTGAATGGCCTTCAAGGTTTTGGATTTCAAACTTTTTTGTTGTAATCCGCAGTGAAAAAATATATTTTATATTTTACATCATGACTCAGTATGTACACATATATAAGGGAAACAAGAGTTTGGGAAAATAGTACTTATTATATGTTATACCCTCTGATATTTCTTTGTGTTTTTACAAATGCTGGCTGCCATCTACTGAATAGATTTTGCCACTCACTAAGAAATTACAACCCACAGTATGAAAAACATTGATCTAATAAAATCCCTTCACTTTATAGTAAAGAAAACCTGAAATTTTAAGAACATGGGAAACTTAAGATTACATAATTATAATTATAAAGTATGATACACATTAATAGGAAAGTTAAAAAATTATGTTATCTTCTCTGTAGATGCAGAGAAAGTATTTAACAAAATTGATCATCCTTTCATGATAAAAGCTCTCAACAAATTAAGCACTGAAGAAACATACCTCAACATAATAAAGGTCATATATAACAAATCCACAGCAAACATCATACTCCTTGTGAAAACCTGAGAGCTTTTCCTCTAAGATCAGGAATGAAGCAAAAATGCCCACTCTCACAACTCCTATTCAACATAGTACAGGCAGTCTTAGAGCAAATAGGCAAGAAAAAGAAAGAAATGTAATTTCTGATGGAAAGAATAGAATACTTGAACAAATGACCCTTCAAGATTTTCATGATAGGGTCTCCACCTATGTCTCTTGCTTTACCTCTTCCCACTCCACACCTCAAATTTTAAACTTTAATATACACCATTATGCTTCCTACCTTTTTGCCTTTGTTCATACAGTCCTATCTCCCTGGAATGTGGTCTCATCTGTGGATAAAATGAAAGTTCCTGTGACCAGGATTCTCATCTGCCCTGGTTGGCTAGCTCACTACATAAGTGTGGGCAATATGTTGCTACTGACTCTATATAAAGAGCTCTGCCCAGTGGTCTGGACGACATGATGGCATGGCGGCAAGGCTGCAGGAGAGCAGAGATGAGACTGGAGTGGTGGCAGCACCAAGAACAGAGACTGAGAGGGCTACGGGGGCAGAGAGGCCCAAAGGCAGAGACTGGCTTGCTATATGCAGACTCGCTCTGAGTGAACTGGATTCTAGTGATTGACCTGCCACTGTGGGAATAAAGTTGGGTATAATCCTTGCATCCATTTCTTTGGTCACACTGAATCCATGGTGAACCTGCCCGGGGCTGAAACCCATTGGCAATACATCATCCCACCTTTTTTTTTGACTGGCTGACTTCTACTCATTTTATAACACTCAGCTCCAATTTAACCTCCCTTAGGAAGGCTCACATGCTCCTCCTCCCTGTGCTATGAAGAAACATTACACCTGCTACATTAATACCCTCTATCTTTATGTTTATGTGTGTTCCCAAACTTCACAATGTGCTCCTCGGCATAAGAACTATATCTTTTTTCTAGCAAGAGTTACATAGTATGTGTTCAGTAACTGGTGAGTGAATGACCAAATTACACAAAAATGTAAGTGACAGGAAACAATAAGATTAGATATATTTTAATCTTAAAATAGCATTAACCAATGTTTTAAAGACTGATTTATAACTGTCTAATGACATGGATAGAAATCTCTGTTGTAGGCTGAATCTGTACATTTCCAGTTTCAGAGTTTATTTCATTTCATCACCTTCCTTCCTGGTCTTAAAGGAATACGTTTAAAAGTTCAGAGCTAATTACACTTTGTTTTACATGAAGAATATATTATGATTAAACCTTAAGATATATCCAAATATCCTGAAACATTAACTTGAAACAGATGTGTTGCTCCTTGTTTAAGTGCAGAGTTAGTATGAATGGGAACAGCTATATTATATAACTAAAAATACCAATTAGGATTACCAAACAAAACATATACTATATAAAACATCTTTCAAAACAGTCACATGTACTATGCTTTTCTTTATTCTAATAAAAATGATCTACTCTAGCAGTCTCCATTGGGCTACAAAATGCCAATCCCTTATTAAAATCAACTGTCAAAAAGAAGTATGGAGAATATTCATTGCATTTATTAGGTTCTATACTGAGTTTCACATGATCCACACTGATAAATGCTTCTTGCCAGTTATAGTGACACACATCACCATGTTACCTGTTTAATGATATTAAACAGTTCAAGCACATTTCCTTATTTTTAAATAGAAGAAAGTCCTCCTTGTTTGAAATTATGAGGAACAAAAACCAATAGTAACAAAAACTTTTTTGTACTATCAGCGACCAAGTTGTAAATAGTAATTAAGCAGATGCTGAAGCCAACTCTTAAACCCTATCAAGCCATAAACAGCAAATGCCATATTTAGACTTACTTCAAAAAACTATTCTTTCTCCCAAATCTGCTTCTCCCACAGAATTCCCCATCAGTTAGTGGCAATTCCACCTTTTCAGCTGCACAGGCCAAATACCCTGGAAGTTTGTGTACAAATTTGTAGCTACAAGATATTTAAGTTCTGGGAATCGAATGTATAGCATAGTGACTATGGTTAATAGTACTGTACTATATACTTGAAAATTGCTAAGAGATCTTAAATATTCTCATCACAAAAAAGAAATGGTAATTATGTGACATGATGTGGGTGTGTTAGCTAACTCTACAGTGGTAATCATTTATAATGATTATAAATTTCAAATCACCACCTGGTATACATTAAACTTACACAATGTGATACGTCAATTATATCCCAAAAAAGCTGGGAATGGGTGGACGAAACTCTGGAATCACTCAGAACTCCTTTTTTGCGCTCACATACCACATCCAATCCATCAAGAAATCCTACTGGGACCGTCTTCAAAAATATATCCAGAACCTATCTGTTTCTCACCCCCTCCACTACTCTACCCTGTACTACCATCATCTCTCAGGTCACTTCACTAGACTCTAGCTGATCTTCATGCTCCTATCTTGGCTCTCTACTGTCTATTTTCAACACACCAGCCAGTTTTTAAAGCCTATGTCTGACAGTGTTACTCCTCTGCTCAGAACTCTTCAATGGCCCCTATCTTAGGTAAAAGTACTTACAAGGGCCTGCAAGACTCTTCACAACTTGTCTTGCCCACTTCATCTTCCTATGCTCCTCCCTAGTTTACCTCATTCTGGCCATTGGCCTCCCTGCAGTTACTTGAACAAGGCAGGAACACTTCTGCCTCAGGACCTTTGTACTGGCTTTTCTTTCTGCCTAAAACAGTCTTCCCTAACAACACTTCATTCAAATATTACCCTCTCGGTACAGCATTCTCTGACCATCCTATTTCAGAATTTATCTATTGCTGACAACACTTCCACATCTCCCAAGTCTTTCCTAATTTACTTCACTCCATAACACCTGCATCATGTCACAATATATATATCCAAAATACATAATTTACTTACTTACTTACTACATTCATGCATATTCTAACTCCCTCCACTAGAATACCAGTTTTAGTAGGACAGGGATTTTTGTCTGTTCTGTTTACTGATAAATTCTAAGTGCCCAGAACAGTGCATGTATATAAGAGGCTCTCAAAAAACATGTCTTGAATGTGCTATACTCAAAGAGGATGTCATGAGCAGACAAAACAGAAAAAACTCGAGTTAGAAAGGTTTCAGAGAAGAGAAAGCATTTAAACTGGATGAGCAGGAATTCTGCAATGACAGTAGAGTGACAGACTATCAATGTGCAAAAAACATGTCTATGACATGTGATTGATTCATCTGTGCTTAAGAGGAACTCCCTCACACTCAAAGGAGAACTATTCAAGGCAAGTCAGCTTCTTAAAAACCATTTTTCTGACAAAAAAGCAGAAAAGAGATGAGACCCACAGCACAAGTGAATTTAAACTTAAAAAGATATAAACAGGCCAATATATTGTATATTTCTCAAATATAGAAAATAATATATACAGAATCAAAGTCATTTCTGAGGCCAAAGTACTCAAAGAACCACAACTTGGAAAACAATCCTTTTTATTCCACAGTCCCCTTCTTTCCATCGCTGATTTTCCACTCTTTTGGTCAAGTCAAAGATCTCATTTCCTTCCTTTCTATTTTCTTCCCACTCATTCTTTTGTTTTCAAGGAACTAAAGGTCAATTTCCTGTACAATCAGTCTGCACAGGATATCCACTTAAACGCTGTCCTACCCGCTAGCACCTACCCACAAACAAAAGGAAAAATTTTAAAGACAAAAACATTCAAACACTTCCTGAGGCCAAGAATGAACAAGGATTAGACCACAGGTAAAGAACTAAATGCAGGAGAACGAGCTAAAGAATAAAGGAAAATAAGGGAGGAAAAAACAAACTATAGGAGGAGCAAGTAAATGTTACAATGTTATCCAGTGAGTCTAGTCTATGTTACTTTTTCATTGGCTTAAGGACAGACACAATCTGGATGATTCAAATGTACTGCACCCGCCCAAATCCAAGTATGTAGGTTGGGAATGTTTTATTTTTTAAACATGAAGTAACTACTATATAGTAACTACCTTGGAAAGCAAGTTCATCTTTCATTAATCACTACTACAAAGGTAGATCGTGGACTTAAGATGAGACAACTGAAGACTGATTTTCACTTACAGAACACAGGACCCCAGTAACAGAAATATATTATGATTATTAAGAAAAGGTAATTTTATTACTTTTTTCTACTGATACACTTGCAGATACAATAAGGTAAAACACAGAAATAGCTTGTACAAAGTAAATTAACAGGATTAAACAAGTTGAAATACAGAATAAAACTCAAAACCAAATTCAGACATAAAGTTAAACATTAAATTTAGGAACTATTAAAAACTTTTCACCAGTCATTCACAAACTTTTATCACTTTAATTAGAAGTCTGTTGGGTAGTAACTGGAGAAATTGACATACAAAAATTCTCAGGTTAGGC